GTGGTCGTGTGTGACCCTCAACATGGTCGTGTGTGACCATCATCATGGTCGTGTTTGAATGTCTACGTGGTCGTGTGTGAATATCTACATGGTCGTGTGTGACCCTCAACATGGTCGTGTGTGACCATCATCATGGTCGTGTTTGAATGTCTACGTGGTCGTGTGTGACCCTCAACATGGTCGTGTGTGACCCTCAACATGGTCGTGTGTGATTATCTACATGGTCGTGTGTGACCATCATCATGGTCGTGTGTGAATGTCAGCATGGTCGTGTGTGAATATCTACATGGTCGTGTGTGACCTACATGGTCGTGTGTGACCATCATCATGGTCGTGTTTGAATGTCTACGTGGTCGTGTGTGAATATCTACATGGTCGTGTGTGACCCTCAACATGGTCGTGTGTGACCATCATCATGGTCGTGTTTGAATGTCTACGTGGTCGTGTGTGACCCTCAACATGGTCGTGTGTGACCATCATCATGGTCGTGTTTGATTATCTCTGGTCGTGTGTGACCATCATCATGGTCGTGTGTGAATGTCTACATGGTCGTGTGTGAATATCTACATGGTCGTGTGTGACCCTCAACATGGTCGTGTGTGACCATCATCATGGTCGTGTTTGAATGTCTACGTGGTCGTGTGTGACCCTCAACATGGTCGTGTGTGACCCTCAACGTGGTCGTGTGTGACCCTCAACATGGTCGTGTGTGACCCTCAACATGGTCGTGTGTGACCCTCAACATGGTCGTGTGTGACCCTCAACATGCTCGTGTGTGACCCTCAATATGGCCTTGTGTTAATATCTTCATGGCCGTGTGTGACAGACTACACAGTCGTTTTTCTGTAATCTGTTGATCTAAGGCAAGAGCTTGATTCTATGTAAATCTGGTGTAACGCCCTTTTCACACAACCTGTCCCAGTTAGCTGTAAGGCTCACCCTTTTCACAGGACGCCTTGCTTTCAGGTGGACGGCATGGAGCCTGTTAACGGTAGATGATGATAGTGCCCCTTCTGTTACAGTACGGGATTCTCTGATGATAACAGAAACGATCTTCTTTAGGTGCCGTTATACGCGAATTTCATTTAATTTTCAATCGTCATGCCTGTTTCGTTCCCCCTAGACGTACACAATGTTGCTTTTGTTTGCACATTCATCTCCTACTGTTCATGTACGATGATGTGAAATTTCATTCTGATTAGCTACAACGTTCAGATACCACGCCAAGGTGCTGTAATATACACCTCAACGATAGCTGCATTCAGATCAATAGTTACACTACTTTTGTCGACAGTACATAGACGGAGAATAGACGGAAGATGCCATGAGCTTTCCTCTTTGCTCATTATGCATATGAATTAAGCCCATGTGTCTAATGTCATCTCCTCTACAAGATGTGTAGTCAAGTTGTGTCGCAGCTCTCACTTCCTTGTCTGTACAATCTTCTATTTTCAGATATTGATTAAGGTCGGTAAATCAAAGAGGCGCTTTCTGCCGGGCACAAGCGACACTGTTCACTGGCGAAATGTTACATCGTCGCATTCTTCATCGTGCATACACCAGCTGCTATAGGTAAAATACCTAGTTTAACTGGAGCGTATATAGACCAGCTGTGCGAGTTGTAAAGGTCACACAATCTGTGTGGAGCTTGTCTATCTAGCGTCATATGCAACCGTTTCAAATCTAGATACCGTTCTGTCCATAATGTTTATCAGATCGTGTAATTAACCTATTTCTATAGTTCTTTGGTGGGAAATGTAATTTAGTGGGACACGTTTCTATGAAATGAGAGGTTACACTCCTCAAAACTACCAATTGATGATGGGCAACAGATAATAATGTTGTTCAGGTGCAATCCCAGTCTGATGCAATAATGGAAATTTTACAGCGATTTTCCCCTTTACACCCAAAAATGTGTAAAAATGTTTCTGAATATTCTTTTGTCCTGACATTTTATATCTAACAAAAGATTCTGGTCTACCGAGTCTACCATGGTCTTCAAGTTTAGTCATGTCAGTGACTGGTTCTACTGTTCAGAGATGAGGAGTTCGAGTGGTTGCATCAGTTCCTGATCTATCGTGAACGTTCTCTATCGATCTGGAGACGTAGCGTTGCAGTAGTTTTAATTCATGGAGTTCTTTTGATGATGTGTTTGACTTTTGTTCACATACACAGAGGGCGCTTTTGGAGAACAAAACGACGCCATAGCTGAATACATGTTAGTGTATTCAGCCCTCCGGCTACAAATCCAGTATGTTTGAGAGAAGCAATGATACGTCTCACCTTCGCGAGGTTCCTAGGGTCCTCTCAGTCTTTATATGTGTGGTCATTAGAGAATAGCCGTGCTTGGCACTCTCTTTTACTGGAAGTATAGTTTGTAGTCTGTGATGTTTAAATGTAACGTTGTTTTCAGCGTGTGACTTACTATATGTATGAGAACAAGATTTGATCGAAGCCATGGCTGACGCCATAGAGAAGTGTAGTGATGAAATGACCGTCTACTTGGTCGTGTGTAAATGTCTACATGGACATATCTGACCGACTACTTTGTCGTGTGTAAATGTCTACATGAACATGTCTGACCGTACATGTACATTTCTGACCGTCTACTATGTCGTGTGTAAATGTCTACATTATGGGCGTGTGTAAATGTCTCGTGTGGTTGTGTGTAAATGTCTACATGAACATGTCTGACCGTCTACTTTGTCGTGTGTAAATGTCTACATGGACATGTCTGACCGTCTACTTTGTCGTGTGTAAATGTCTACATGGACATGTCTGACCGTCTACTTGTCGTGTGTAAATGTCTACATGGACATGTCTGACCGTCTACTTGGTCGTGTGTAAATGTCTACATGAACATGTCTGACCGTCTACTTGGGCGTGTGTAAATGTCTACATGGACATGTCTGACCGTCTACTTGGTCGTGTGTAAATGTCTACATGGACATGTCTGACCGTCTACTTGGTCGTGTGTCTACAAACATGTCTGACCTACATGAACATGTCTACACCCATGAACTGTATGACCGTCTACTTCGTCGTGTGTGTGTAATGTCTACATGAATGTATGTATGTGTAAATGTCTACATGGACCGTCTACTTGGTCGTGTGTAAATGTCTACATGAACATGTCTGACCGTCTACTTGGTCGTGTGTAAATGTCTACATGAACATGTCTGACCGTCTACTTCGGTCGTGTGTAATGTCTACATGAACATGTCTGACCGTCTACTTGGTCGTGTGTAAATGTCTACATGAACATGTCTGACCGTCTACTTGGTCGTGTGTTAATGTCTACATGAACATGTACACTGTATGACCGTCTACTTGGTCGTGTGTTAATGTCTACATGAACATGTACACTGTATGACCGTCTACTTGGTCGTGTGTTAATGTCTACTTGAACATGTACACTGTATGACCGTCTACTTGGTCGTGTGTAAATGTCTACATGAACATGTACACTGTATGACCGTCTACTTGGTCGTGTGTTAATGTCTACACGGACATGTCTGACCGTCTACGTGGTCGTGTGTGACCCTCTACATGATATTGTATGACCGCCAATATGGCCGTTTGACTGCTAACCCGTGCAGATTGATCTTCAGTAACCCACGCTTGTCGTAAGAGGCGACTAATGGGATCGGGTGGTAAGACTCGCTGACTGGTTGACACATGTCATCACACCCCAGTTGTGTAGATCGATGCTCATGCTATTGATCACTGGATTGTCTGGTCCAGACTCGATTATTTACAGACCATTGCCATATAGCTGGAATTGCTGAGTGGGGCGTAAAACTGAACTCACTCACTCACTTTGACTGCTGACATGGCTGTATGTAATTGTCCACATAATTTTAGGACGTTTTATACGCGGATGTATATATATACAACATAACTTTTAAAACAAATACCAACATTTTATACATATAACTTTTTTTCCAATTCCGAATGGATTGAAATGTTTCGCATCCTAACAGTCGACTGTTGTAGAGTGAAGAGAGTCTGAAGCTGGGAGATGGATGCCTCGTTGTTGAAGAACTAATCACACTGAGAGCAAATTAAAACTAATGGATGTCCACTCGTGTTCAGTCTGACTTGTAATGATCTGAACCTATTAAGGCCCTATATCACAGGCTAATTACTGCGATACCCACACTGATATGTCGCTGTCACTGATTGGTCTGCCATTGTCAACAACGTGTATCGTGTATCTTCAACAGTGTTGTAGACGACAAATGTGCTTAGTTGTTTAAGCCGCCGCAATTTGATGTAAGTTGCGTACCATAGTTGCACCAAGATCCGCTCAAAGTGGGCCCAAATAAATGATTTGTCGTTACACTGAAGTTTGGCGTTGAAGCACCTCTTCTTTGACAGTGGGTACACCAATGGTAAATGGCTTTCTGCGCACATTGACAGGATAAAGCAAGGGCTGTTCGGCTCGGAGCCAGTATACCGTGTCTGAGTGGGATTATGTATTTCTATGACCCGACGTCAAACCCTACCCATCACATCTCACCTTAGTTAATCCCGTCTCCATTTTACCCTGACGATCTATGTCATGCCATGTCAGCATGGCTAGATGCAGTCATCTCCAGATGAAATGACATTCCGCTAAGCGACATGAGACATGTTAAGTCATGAAACATTTATCTCGAAAACGCCGTAAAACAACATCACTGCCGATTCAGAAAATATTCCTCTTACAGGTTCCTGCCTGTACTCGGACTCTGATATATCGGACCAAGCGGAACTGTGACGTATCGCTGAGAATTCCAAACATAGAGTTTGCAAGGCGTGGATAGCCAGCAAGTATTCGAGTTCTCCGTAGTTCGAGACAATAGCAGACATTACAGCATACTCTCTCAAAATATGAACTTACAAACGTTCGAGTTAGCAAAGGTGCGACTACATCCGGATAAAACGAACCGATCTTGTTCATCGGTTCGATATATTCATATTCGATGATACATGAAACAGACACACAAAAACAAAAGTTTGATTCTGTCGAAAATATGTGATTTATTTCCTCATAACAAGAACAATATCAACATGCATCTCCCACTGGTCAGTCGGTATCACGTGGTATAAGCTACATATTTCTAGATTATAAACATGTACTAACCAATGTACAGTTTCCTCCAGCTATTTTCTGTTCGTCATATCCAGGTAATACCATGCCTATTAATGGATTTCATGTCGAAATGGAGTCGGTCGTTGAAGTCCCTATTGAACTAGGAACGATGTTAGCAACACTTTCAACAGTCAAAATACCCATTGTTATAATGTCTGTACAAGCAGTGCGTGTTTATTTTGATTTCATTGAAACCACTTTACAATGTATATACACTTAATAATAAATAAATACAAATGATAGCACCATAGGTTTCAAGTGATAACGTGTGGTCGTTTCTACATAACGGCGTCACGTCGAAATGACGGGGTCACGTGACCCATCACCTTATCATGTGATGTCCCACTACCCAATGAAATAGGACAACGTTCAGTTAGCGTGGAAGTTAGAATAATGACTATTTTTACTGGCAAGATACGGCGGCATTTGACAAGTGTGTTTGACCCGTGTGAAGTAAGTCTGTTTTAACACCTAACTCGAATAGAGATAGCTGAACCTTGCGTAGACATTTCGCAACATGTACTTGTCTAAGCGTCAGAGTTGCATTTAGTGGAAGAAGGGTTACAGTGAGTCAGCTAGATCACTGCTTCCGGTATGTTTCTATGGCAACAAGAATAAAACGTCACGCGTCAAACGGCGGTATTGTTAGTTTTGTCGTCACATAGATGATAATGTCTCGAATTAGCAGCGAATGTTAGGAGACACATATATGCTTCAAGTGGTTTTATGTCCATCGACATAGGGTAGAGTATCACGTCGTCTTGAAAACGTTATTGATAGAAAAGCAAAAAGCAAATCTCTAACGAAGCAGCCATGTTGTTGGTCCCTTATCTTGTGTGGGCCCGAAGATCTCAACGGGTAAAATCACTTGTATATGAGGAAAGCACGGGCCCAGCTGGTGGCAAAGCGATGAGGTACAGCAACTGCAGATATTTTTCAACAAAATATATCCACACATTGTTGGATCTGAAGTAAGTTCCATCACGGACCTAACTACATCTCACACATTCATCTGAACCACTTTCTGGCTATTTCACTCTGTATATCAATATCTTCACATTACATTTCACACAATATCATAAATATTTGAATGATTATACAAGTTGTGATATAGCTTTTGTCAAAATGATAATTTTCAGAATAAATTAAATTAATTCCAAAATGACTTGAGAAATACTTAATATAATCAAAGCCATAATATATAAAGAACTGCATTTTCAAAATATGCCAATAACATTTTGTTAGGTATGTGGACAGGCCTATGTATCTCTGAGTTCAAAGGTTTGACGAAACGTTATTTTTTAGGCCTGCCCGGTAGTCGTGTTCCGATTACACCTAATAGTGCCACAGACATGAGAAAAGTGTAATGGGGGCAAACAGTGAACATATTTGCCCCTCACTGTAAGTGTCTTCACAGAAACCCTTGTTTGCATTTGCCAGTAGACTTGGTGTGAAATCTATTTCCACGGCTTGCACAGTCGTGAGACAACTCACAGTGTGTCTCATTGTTTCAATTTGCGGAGGGCCTAAGCACACATCCCGACCTGAGGACAGGCGCCATTCAGACCAGATCCCTGTTGCGTATGCCTTGTATTAGACCACCCCACGGTCAACACATGCTCCAACCTTGTCAACATACGACATCACCGTCAACACAACACAGCGTTCTTTATGACACGTCATGAAGACAGGACGTGACAGCGGTCAATAACTAGACTTATGACCGGACGGGTCACGTCCAGCCGAAGTCTTGTTTCACCATTTGATAAAACTTCAGATTAAAAGGACGGTAAAAGTCTCTCAGTCTTTGAACTACATCTGGGTCGACATGAGGATGACGACGACCCTTGGTTTTACCTAAGCAATGAGGTCTTCCACTACCTTCGGGCTTTTTCAGACATGGAAATCCTCTGGTCTGGTTGAGGTAGAAATGCTTGTCAGTAATTATCCGTTTCAGGCCAAGAAAATCCTGAACCTTAGCCATCTCTCCTGCAGGGTCAGAGATCAGGTTTTCCCCGCTGACGAAATGCAATTGTTCCAAAGGGAAATACCTCAACCAACGTTCCACATGTTTGGCATAAACTCCAATTCTCACAGCACCCCACTTGGTGTCGACAAGACGGGTCGTGTTGTCTATGAAAGCCATTTGTTCAAAAGGTTTTAAATAAGGCCTTTTTGTGAAGGACTGGGTGTAGTCTGATATTGCACGAGTCACCGGGTCTCTAACCACCACAATCAGTTTTACGCCCTTGGACATGTTGAAGACCTTCTTGGGAACTTCACGGGTGACGAAGTAGCTTGGGGTCTTCTCGATGGTCACCTGACCCGGAAGTGTGGTCGGCATCTGTCGCCTGCAGAGAGAAGAGACATTGTTAGATGAACCAGAAATATACTTCTGAAGCTACATACATGGTGAGATTGTTATGTTGAGAGCATCACGTGAGTCAAATGGAAGGAAAGTCTAAAGATATAGGTCGCAAAATCTGCGAGAACCGGTATGGTCAAGGGTCCTCATCCTGGGGAATCAAGGATTCAAACCCACGACAAGCGGATCCGGACGAAGTAGATTACTGTCAGTTTGACGATAACACATCTGATTTGACGCTTGTTTTCTTTAACGCCGCACTCCGCCATATTCCACCAATATGACGACAGCCTGTAAATAATCTAGAAAAGACAATCCCGCAATTGACGTCACGAGCATCGATCGACGCAGTGCCATCAGTCATGATCCAGATTGGTTTAAGATCAAAATCGCAAAGGAAAATATCATTATTCACAATACAGTTCAACAAATGAAACGAATTTCTGGTAGTGATCCTTTCTGATGTTGCCATGTTACTTGTGTGAAGATGATATATATATTTATATTTATATATATTTGGATTGTGCTAGTCCACGCGATATTTTTGTGATTGCTTCTATAACCGCAGAAATGCGTAATTTCATAAATTCTTAAAGAAGGGTGGATTTGAAATGTCACTGTCTGGCAGAACTGGGCCAGTACGATAATTTATTCATGATTTCATTGCCACTCACGTCTCATCTGTCAGCAACAGGCGCACATAAATTTCAACGGATAAATATATGCTTATCATAACACACATAAACATCGTGAACTTTCCGCATCCACATTCATCAAAACTCTGACATGCGCTATGCAGAAGGATTAGTGCAGTAGCTGCTGTGGGCGATATGAAACGCCGGCAGGCTTCTGTTTTCACGCTTAGAATAACAGTTTGATGTGAAGCGATGGATTGTTATATGCACGACTACATCATACCCATCATACAACGAATACCAGAAAAGGAAAAAAGTTATTCAAAACGAAAAACGGAATATTATATTTAGCAAAGTTTTGACATACCAAACCGATAATGTAACCACCTATCGTTTGCTATAATAAAATTTAACACTGTAGTTATATCTTAGTAACTCGAACTACGTCAACATGAAATAATCTAAGATTATGTATTTATTTTTTATTGCCCACTTGGAACCTTTGTTGGTATTTCGGCTAGTATCGAAACAACGTATATCTCGAAGGTTGATAACTCGAAGATCGAAGTTTTAGCTGCAATTTGCACAACACTGATAATGCATTCGAACTTCGGTATTTCGTAATCGATATTTTACCCATCATTTGGCATTCTGTCGTGAATATATCTACTTTGTCTGGTTTATTAATTCCCTGGATGACATAGATTATCCTCTATAGCAAATTAACTTAATATCATCCGGTGATTGGGTTCCATTTGCAACGCACAAAGTTAGCAAGAGAATGAATATCAAACAACGCATCACACACAACAGACATGTACCAGTGTGACATTGGAGTTCCGAATTGAAAGAGCTATTATGTAATTGATTACAACGTTCCAAGCTCGCTACACTTTCATTAATCATTTACTGGCAGACAACACCTTGCAAACAGAGAATGAAATTCACAAAAGTACCGCCTAGCCAATCAAAGAGTAAACATTTCGATTCGTAAAGGGCAATATTGATACACTGATGAAATCGCCAATAAACTGATCCTCATTAATCCTCCCCGGCGTCGAGAAGACTCGCTTCTGTCGCCTCTGGGTAGGCCAACTGCTCCCAGTTCTGGTAAAGAGTTCGAGGTGACCTTCTCTGGGAGAGCTATTGTTTACGTCATTTGGCAGTTAATGGTTCTGGAAACATTGTAGCCATATCTAAAGTATATCTTATTGTACTTTAATCTGACCGTTAGTTCATTTATCGCTCATAAAATTATCCTTAGGTTATCCGCGTGTGAAGATATAAAGACCCGGGATTGATGTACCGTTGAAGTGGGTCTACTATTACAGTTTGTATCTGAAAAGTGGAATCTGGTGAATCACCTTTATCTCAGTCAATGTTTTAGAACTTTGTTTCTCTTACACTGTGAGCGTACATCTCGAAGTAAGTTCCGCCGTGATATTGCTGGAATATTGTTTGCTAAAGCGGTGTAAAATTAAACTCACTCACTCTGTGAGCGTACATACAGAATTTCCGTCAAAGAATCCCATGTTGTTTGCACGTTACCTTTAAACTTGAAATAGTGTCAAAGACTCCCATTCCCCTAGCAATAATCAAACAGCATTCAAGCAATATTCCAAAATGATTGCAGTATTTTACCAGCAATATCCAAGCAGTATATCCCAATAATATTCCAAAAACATCCAACGAATATAACTATTCCAACAATATTCAAGCACTATTCCAGAAATATTTAAGTATCCATTCCGACAATATTCCAGAAATATGTCATCATAGCAATATTCCAAAAACATCCCAGCAATATCTCAACGAGTTGTGTTAATTGTCATTATCCCTGAGTTGCGGATCTAAGGTAACCAATTCCCCTGTCTCTATGGAGGAAGTATAACAGTAACACGCACAACACTACATGTTGGCGGGACTGATTGCTGCAGCACCATCTCTGATTAACGCCTTTGATGTGATGGTAGGACTACATTGGCAGTATTCTATACAGCAATGGGACCGGATGGAATAATTCTAAATAGAGCGTGTTGCTTAGTGGTATATTGCCATGTTGTTATGGGTGTTGCTAGGCGTGTCACATGACCGGCATAAGAAAGATAAGATGAGAAGATAAGAAAGGGTAATATGAGAAACATTCTACAAAACGCACTGTGGTCTTGTTTGTTTTGTTTTTTTAATTCCTCACTCAACAATATTTCAGATATTACGGCGGTCTGGACCAGACACTCAAGTGACAGACATCATGAACATCGATCTATGCAAATGGGATACGATGACATGCATCAAGAATCAATCAAGTCAGCGAGTCTGACCACTCGATCCGGTTTGTCGCATCTGTTAGAAGCATTATCGATCCAGATGTTCACGAGTTCTGCTCTCGGACAAATGAACATAGGCACTTGAAAATTGGATTTGATCCAAATATTATTAAAACGTTTCCAGACTGACCTGCGAGCCTATTACACCCGTACCACGCACAGCACCATCGAATAATGTTTTACTTCTAGTCATCATTCAACATGAGAGCATACTTTCTATTACCCGAAGTATCTCACATATCTCACTTGCACTTACGAGAAAATGTGATTTTAAATATTTTAAGTGAAAGAAAATTTATCCGACGATGGAAAATCATTGGATTTCATTTTTTTTCATGTTTGGATTCGAACTCATTGTTTCCGTGTAGTAAGATCGGCGCATCGACCAGCTGAGCTCACTCCATCTAAGTGCCTTAGGGTCAATTTTTGTAGGATCAATACGCTAAACGACTTCACAGCTTAGGTACACAATCTCCGATTCATCGATAATGTAAGATAAGACAAATTGATTGTAAAACATTTTATGTAAGTGAGTTGTCGGTGAGTGAGTTGAGTTTAACGTCGATGTTTGCAATAAGTAATCCGAATATCAACCTAACTGGATCACATTTCGGAGACTATCAAACACCAAGCCATTAGACACGAGTAGAATCAACTACCTGTATAGCAGGGCTGTATACAAACATCCCCCAGCTATGGGAGACGCTGGGCTACAATGGTGAAGAGCTGGGATCGATGGAACGAGGCGGTGTTACAAGACCTATACTCATTCACGCCAGTGCTTACCTCTAACCACGCAAACAACTGGAGTACCGGTAATAACTGGAGAACAGTCTTTTGCACTCTGTATTCATGGCTATTTCTATACATGATTATCCAGATCCGGATCCCGGATCAATCGGAGACTGTGGTTAACATTGATCTGGAAGCTGAATTAACCCAATTACGACTCCCTTTGTCCACGTGGAGTCGTGTTGCGCATCCAGGGAAATATGTTCCACCGAGATGCGCTATTAAGACAATACGCTTTATATAGTGTGGTGCTAGTTTCATGCTATCGGCAGATCATCTGAGGCAATATGGCAAGTTCTATTAGGAATTGCTATTTATCTTCTCTGTATGATTAAATTTTCTTAGATTAAATATATATGTAACGCAATTACAAAGGGTTGTTTGAGCGCAGAAAAGGTTGTATGTAGCTAATGAATAATCTTTGGTCACGCTGCAGTGGAGTAAAAAATATTTTCAGGAAGTGTGTCTATAATAAGTGATCTTAATGACATTAGTAAATGATAGCGATATCTGGTGTTCCGTTGAATTGAATTAACCCATTATGTGCACAAGTTGCTATTAGCTAAAAGATGCTTTCGGTTAGCTGATTGGTATTATCTAGAATTGATTTGATATAGCTAAGGTTCCGTAAAACAGCTTTGAAAAAGATGTTCATACGAGCCCACGCTTATTACATCTTTCCATTAAAGGATAAGTTACGGAGTCAGCCTGGCAGATAATACGAATGAAGTGGATATCTATCTCCAAACCTGAGCTGTACAATAAGATCGAGAAACGATCCCGTGGTATCGTGTTAAAAAACTCATTTTCTCTAAATGCCGGGTCGCTGTGCAAGGCGTGGTAGCATCTCTGAGTTTACGTTTGATCATAGCATCTCATTAAGCCGTTGTAGATGAAGTCGTGATCGGTATTGCTGCTGCTGTTGCTGTTCCTTGTGGAAGATCCCGACAAGATTAAAAGCCTGCTTTGTTTGTGATGTTTAAACCTATCCGTGCATCTTCAGGTGTTTTTATATACGTGCGGGAATCAAAAGTAAATTCCCTGGACCGATATGCCATCAATGTTACGACTGCTATTTAATTCTGCCTAACAACTGTGTATCATCAGAAAAAAGACATCATCTTTGATCAGAGTGTAAAGGGATGAGCAGAACAGTCACAGGGGATGTGTAGCCCAGTGGTGACATCTCGCGCTCACAGATTGACTGCCAATGCTGATCACAATCAATGCAG